ATAGATAGATAGATAGATAGATAGATACTTGATAACAAATGAGGCTTTTTATATCATATTTATTCATAATTCACTAAAAATGTTAAAAAACAGACAAACAAGGAGGGTCTAAAACTTTGGTTCAGTTCGATATGTTGATCTGTATCGATTTTTAACTCTTCCTAACTGTCCGATGCTCTGGTAATATATATGCTCTGCTTGGTCTTTGCAGCAATACAAAATCCAGCTTTTCTCCATCGGTTTGGTTTATGTGAGGTGATGGACTGATATGAATTGCAGGAGAGAGCAGGTAATGACGTTCCCGCTGAGTGCCTGGACATGGTCCACCCCGCCCCCAACTCCTACCTCACTTTTGCCTCTCTCCTGGTGTTGATTTACTTATTATGGGCTCTTTCTCCTTCATTCCACTGTCATTGAACCCTGATTAGATCAAGCTCGGATCGCTTTGGACAGTTTGCATCGATGAGTCCATCTATCACACGACGTTCATTAGCTGTGGATCGCTACCGCCATCTATTGCTTGCGGCTCTAACGCCCGTGGCCCTCATCTCCTTGACCTCTTCCCTCTCGCTTTCTCACTTTCCACCTCTCTCGGACATTGGCAGTGTATCTCTCTACCCACCCCCTACAATCTGTGGCAAGCCAAGTCAAAACCGCACCTCCAGGGGAGTAAAGCCTCTTCTCTCTCTACCCTTCTTTTTTTCCCGCTGTCTTTCATCGGCGACAACTGAGTGGCAGCCAATCATGGGCTCAATCCCGCTGCCACAATCTCCCTGACACTCAAAAAGAGAAAGAGAGAGGGAGAAATGCATGTGAAAGGAACATACTACACAGACAGACCAAAAAAGGAGACATAATGCAGGTAAAAAGACAAGTAGAAATCAAAAAGCATTTAAGACAAAGGGACTAGAATTAAAGAGAGAAAGCAGTCAGACATCTCTCTCTCTCTCTGTCTCTCTCTCTCTCTCTCTCTTGCACAGTAAGCTTCAGGACAATGTTCAGTCTTACAGAGAAAACTGAGAGGGAAGGTGACAAGCGTAGAGATTATGCTAAGGAGATATAGAAGTGTGCCGAAAACACAGCAGAAAACAATGGAGTATAGACCATGAAGGTAAAACTCTCTCTCTCTCTCTCTGTGTGTCTCTCTCTCGTCCGTCCCTCCCTCTGCAGCTCTGTTGCTCTTGTGCTCTCTCGGTCCCCCACTCTTGCTCAGACGGATGAGGAGAGTCCGGAAAGAGAGCAGTCATGTACGTAATTTTCTCTCTCGCTCGCTGAATCTAAAGGTTATCATTAAGACAGATGTGCCCTGCAGAGTGGTTGCAGTGGAGATCATTTTACCCTGGAGGAACCACTTGATTAAGGAGTGGCTAAGACGGATTTAAAGCAACTGAGAAAGACGTGGCAAAAGCAAAAAGAGAGTGTGAGTAGACGGCTGATTAGTTTCTTTTGCAGGTGGTTTCAGAAAATGCGTCTAGGACATAAAGAGAAGGTTCGGATGCTTTTGTGAATGTTTCACCGGCATATTAATGTTCAAGGACCTACTGTACGGGATTTATTGAGGTTGCAGTAAAGTGAGTTTATATTGTGGGGAATTGAGAGGGAATTCCTGGCTAGAAACTGTTCGAACTGTTTCTCGCGTTGTTGAATTTCATCTCTAGACATCTGAAGTCTTGAGAAGCCAGATTTAGAGGTGTTGTTTCTTTTTTTTTTTTTTTTTCATATTTTGCCAATATGGATGTAAAGTTTGTTGTTTAAGATCAGATGGAAAATTATAGTTAGTTATGATGAAATAATTTTGCTACAACTATACAAGATTGTTCTATGTGCATATAAAATAAACATTTAGATAGCAAACGATGTATCTAAAAACTTCTTACGGGCTGGCAGAGCTGCTCTGCGGTAATTTTATTTGACAAATGCTCTGTTATGAATCCCGCAATTATACAAATGCTTTTGCTTGATTCTGATTAGCAGATTATTGCCTTGACCTGTGTGTCATTTGGCAGCTATTTTACTGGCTGCCTCAGTTTGAAGATAAACGATGTACTTTGTGTGTGTGTGTGTGTGTACAGTATATGTGTGTGTGTACCGTAATATATATATATATATATATATATATATATATGTGTGTGTATATATAGATACA